CTCTCGCCAAGACCTTAGTCAGCTGTGATAGCGCCAACCCGTCTTTCAGACCTGGGCACCTCCAGCATCCTACAATTCTCACCCGCGCAGTACATAATCATCGTCTAACTGGATGCCCTCGTGCAAAGTCAGTCCTCACTTGACGTTTTACCCGACTGCCTTCGTTGCGCTCATCAACTTGACCTCATAAAAGCCTGATATAAACGCTGGACGCTGCACATCAGACCGCAGCGCGACAAACGCCTTCGATGCAAGACTTCAAACGTTTATGGCAGCAACAGGTAGTACAAGGCTGCGCAGATGCTCGGTATGACGTTGGTTCCAAGGATCGTGGATGAGATCACGCTGTGCAGGAAAGATCTTCGCCAACACAAAGCTTGCGCCCCTCCTTGGATCTGCCTTCCAATACCTCGGACGCGTGTACTGGCAAAGAAACCAGTAGAGGGCGCCATTTTCTGCAGCGCCAAGGTACTGTTCTGTCAGACTACGCCCCGAGCAATCTCTCAAAGGTCTACACTTGCTGCAGGAGCGAAAAACATTGGTCAATCAGGCCTCCTACACACTTTCGCTACTTGGGTACATCTCTAGAACCGAATGTCTTGGTACTCTGAAGGGGTGCTTTCTTGGCCCGCGGTAGGAAAGAGTGCCTTTCGCAGTTCAGCACCTCCACTATCCTCACCTGAATGTCAGCCATGCCAGCAGAAGAAGACAAATCCCGGCCTATCCATGAAAGCAAGTCCTCCGATAAATTTCGACCAAGTAGTCCCGTTACCAAAGCCTATCAGCTGTTCAAGCTTCAACACTTCGCTACAGGCACCGCGCGCTATGACTTCTTGCATCCTATGTTCCTCTTCTTGTCATTCCCTGGTCGCTGACTTACGTTCTCGTCTATCATCCCATCGACCGAACATTTGATCACGATCAATCTAGCCGCCCCCCTAGGCAGCCTGAAGCTGCATAGACGGATGGTCAACTCATTTGCGGGAATTGTCAAAATTCCAATCATATCTGCACTGATAGCATAAGCAGCAGTAGATTATACGCAGAAGCGTCGACACAATGCAATCATTAACTAAGGCAGACATTTGCACTGGCTGATTGCGGGTGGTCCAACCTGAGTGTTCTTTGAGAAGCATGGCCACCGTGGCGTTCGAGAAACAACGGACATTGTGGCGCGAGCAGCCACTTTTTGGCTAGCCGCGGTATTCCTTGTGCTATATAAGTCTCAGCCGTCAGAGCTCTCCGCGGCTTTTAGAGTACTGGTAGCCGGAAAGCTGCCCTAAGGTGTCAGCTTGGTGAACTGACGATCACATAGGCGCTATCCTACAGCCTTTCCGAGAGGGCCTGTATGTCAAATGAGCCGACATTGACAATGACGTCTCTCGATGATGACGTCCTGGCTCCCTAGGCACACGAAAACGCACCGCCTTTTTAGGGTTTGGTCCCGAGCCTTACAACCTAGTCACGATACCGGACGATCTCGTCGTGCAAGATGTCATAGGGAGCTTGGCCGACCACAACCGATACGACTATCCGCTGAATCCATGGCCAGATTTTGGAGGCCTTTCGCCTTTGAGAGCGGATGTTGTGGCTGACTCAGGATCTGGGAATCTAGGACTATGGATGCAATCCTACTCTGAGTATTTCGTGGCTGCTTTGCCCAATGGAACTACAAGTGCCGGACTCCGACATCGAATCATGAGACTCAACTCAACGGTCGAACGTAGAGTCATAACGCAGTCAGCCTACCCATCTCAATGTAGCGGTGACAATCCATTTTCAGTTTCATTTGCACGGGACGAACAGCTCAATATACGATTGTGTGTCCGGGCAGCTGGGGATTCTACCCGTGGCGGCTCACACGCAACAGACAAAGCATCGATGAAGAAGTTCATATTGGCGTATCCGTTGTCAATGGTGCATCAGAACGTAATGCTTCCACGTTTACACGTCACTGCAATGTCCAAACCACTCGTGGGTAGTTTGAGCTGGTACAGTACCGGAACGATCTTGTAGAAGGCGATTTGCTAGATCGCTGGGATGAGTCTGATCCTTATGGTACCAAATCAAAGTGCATCATGAATATGTTCAGAGGGAACTCGATGCTGTCAGCTATGAACTCTTCTTCGGATGCCGCCTCTAGCCTGTCTCAAGTCTGTCAGTCTCGTCGCTTGCCGTTCTCGACGTTCGATTACCATAAGGCATACGCTGATGAGTGCTCGAACTTGACTGGCGTCAATGCTAATCAGGCGCTCACTTCCATTATGACAAATTTCTTGAACTCGACTTTCAACGATACATATAGTGGCATTCACTGACTTGAGATGGGTGTGTAAGTCGTGCCTGGTTATCCATACAGCTGCAGCGACTGACTAGACTTCAAAAAGGTTCTTCACCAATCAAGCCATGCTTCTTCGCACAGCCCAGAACACACAGGATTTCACAGCTCGGCCCATCCGCACCGCGCCAGGAGAGTACATAAAGCGACCCACGGCCTCGCTTGCTGGCCTCATAGTCGTGTCGATCTTGGTGTTGTTCCAGCTGATTGGCTTGACATATCTGGCCTAGTATATATATATATATATATATATAAAGTCCCGATCTGGACAGCCATGCTAGAGGCAATGGCCATCGCAAGGATCACCAACAGCTTGGACAAGGCTGATATACCGGCCATCGGCTCCCTAAGCCATAAGGACACGAGGCGATTGGGCGAGCTGGATGGCTTGTTGGGAGTCATTGATGAGGGTCCAAGAGAAGACGTGGAGGATCCTGCCATTTGTAAAAAGGTGGAGCTAGGACTGGGAGCGTCTGGTCTAATTCATCGACGCCTGGCTAAATTTAGGATGTCGCGGACACATAGATCCCCGGCTATGGACGGGAAGGGGAAGCGCCAATGCGAGGGGTGTACGAGGATACGTGTTGAGCGCGCTGGTGTGGAGAGTAACTCTGTGAGCTGTTGACTCCAGTAATGGTATTTCAACCTTGGTGGCCTGCAAGGTGTGCACTCAGTATTTGCGAGATGCACCGCGCCTCACCTTCTCACGCGAATTTGAAACGAAGTGTTTGTTCATCCGAGAGAGGACCTTTTTTGCGCCAGAAGGCGGCAGTGAAGAGCGTAGAAGGCCGTGGACCGATCGTATCACGAACGTTGAGCTGGTATAACGGACCACAGAATTCGGCATAGGCTTTACCCGACCCCAGCAAGCGAGCGACGAACATTGACTCAGGCTCTCCCTTCAATGAGAAGACCTCTGTATCCGCCGGAAAGCCTTGCAGCCCGACCGCAACTTTTGTAGATTGTGTATCGGCCTGGCTATTCCAGCGTACGACGCTGAATGAGTTTTGTATCTTCTGTAAATGCCGCTGGAGCGATGCGGCAGCCGCCTTGACAAGGTTCACATCGTCTTCGGCAGATCCAACACACATTTCGTTGATGAGCGGCTCGTCAATCAAAGCTAGGAAAATGACGCATAGCCAGCCCTTCCGAGCTTCGGATTTGACGGAATGAACTAGTCCAAGGGCTTTGCAAATGCGGCTGAAGGTAGGCTCAGAAAGCAATGGATCGACAATGTCCAGTAAAAGCCTTCGGATGATGTCTGGCACACGGTGGCAATACCAAGTTTGTTCTGGGAAATCGAAGTCGCGGGTATTTCGTAGATGTGAGAACGTCGTCTCCAGCACCTGAGAGAGCGGCAGTACTTGGGTGATGCGGCCTTCTTGTACAGTCTCAAAAGATATATCTCCATGCTGTATGGCTACTCTGTGTTTCTTATTCGGCTTCAGACGTACTTCAAGTCTTGTCATGACGAATGGAGCCATCTGCCCATCTCGAAGCTTCAAAGCCTCCACAAAGGCTGGCGGCACAGCGTATAGCCAACTCATTCTCCCTTTCTCGACTAAAGCAGTCAGGATAACTTTGAGGGCTTGATCAGCGCTGTGAGTGGGGTTTGGAGTGACATGCTTCAAGACGAAGCAGGCCACATAGCGCGTAATACTTGTCTGACGGCACGATCGCCTTCAGATTTGAGGCTAATTGCAGCACGTTCGCATCGCAGAGTTCGTACGTCTGCGCTTCATCGTAGTTCTGTCGTAAGTACCGTAACACACGACACCATGATGCGAATTCGTTCGGCGGAACAGCAGCGCGGCGATGACCCCAACATCGGCCAACGACAGGTACTCCCCACTGTCGTCCCAAGTGAGGAGATAATTCTGACTGAGCAAGATTTCTGGCAGAATCCAGGCTCGTTCGCGCCATGTAGCATGAGAAAGTATCCGCAGCGCGTCCAGTGCGGCTGTCTCAAGCTCTGGCTCGAGCCACGCCAGCGATCTACAAGACTGGGTTAGCAGACAACTATGTGGTACCAGTTGCGCAATGTCTCTGAGCCTTAGGGGCCCCGCCAGTGGGCAATGCTTACGTCTTTTGACTTCCAGGAGAGTATCCATATTCAAGCCGGGAGTTCGAAGGAGAAGAGTTGTACAACGCGCTTCATAGAAAATTTCATCCATACGAGGAATCCAATATGCCTTATCTTCGCCAGACTCTTGGTTGATGCACATACAATCAAACCAACAACGTGTCGACTTCCGAGTGAGTGCCTTAACTTCTTGAGAGGCATTTTCTCCAAGAAGCGACTTCAGTCGTGTCTGGAGCGCCGCCCAACTTGGGAGTTTGTCGTTGGAGTTATCGTGCCACTCGCTCCAGACATAGGAGATAGCGACATGAGTGCGGAATCCGCTGGTGAGGAAACCGTGGCGATCGAGTGGTCGGTGGAATTGGGATGTGCTTGGGTCAATGAGGGAGAATGTGGATCTTTTCGATGAGTGTGACTTTGGTATTGAGGTAGACATCAGCTACTCAAAAAAGAACGCGTCGAGAACATAGACCAGAGCTATAACCGATTCCTAAGCAAAAGGTACCACGAAAGTGACAAAAAGAATAGTGTAAGATGGACTCGCGGGGAACTGTGATATGGTTAGAGTGTGAATCGAACACACAACTTGGTGAGGGGAACTTACTCGAACCCCGGACCACTCCCATGCTAAGGGAGTATTATACCACTAAACCACAAGCCCAGTTTAGAAAACCACAGGTGTTTTGCTGATTGATGAGGAGATGCTTTTCAATAGTGTATATTTAGTTACGCATTGTCAGAATGACAATACCAGCTCTTCTCATTCTCATGCAACGCTGTGCGGGGAACTTAATTGAGGCGTTGAAAATTCTGCATCCTACGTGGGGAAGACATCGTCCGGCCGCTTGTCGGGATTTGTGGTTGGTCCAAACGCTTCCCTCGACCCCGCGACCACTCCTTTCTGAGCTAAGATATACGTGCGCCGACGACCTGACCGATACACACTTTAATCGCGCTCACCACTAATCGCTGAACGCTGAGTATGGACACATAGAACGAATAGCGCTGACCATGGGCGGCAGTGGCGCAATTGCGTCCGATTCAGCCAGTGCCTCAGCTGAATACGAGCTTGCAAGGTGGGTCAACTGCACATTCCCCTTCAGCACCCCACACCACACGTTGTACCTGGGAATCACCCACAAGCAGGCTGCGAGACAAGCTTTCTGGGCAGCTACTTATGCCCCTCTGTTTGTGAGGATCAAATGACTCGCTGGCACCGTCCAGACTGCCTATCGCCCGACGTCTACGTTGAAGCAGACGACAACAACCTAAGATGCCGCTCATGCTTGGCCATACGTCCGCCTATCGCCGATCTCAAAGCCAGCGTACAGAACGCTGCATCTGGCATCGCCAGTCCCGCAGACGAGCCTCGTGGTCAAATGAACCTATAGTGGCCAAGGGATTTGCTCTACGTCAATCAACAGCCATCACAAGGCGGAACGAATTCACTGCAGCACCCATCTCCACACACAGACTTGCACAACAGCTTCTCCAAACCATCCATTAAGCCAGGCGCGGTGAATAATGCTCACATTTACGGCGTTACCTTGAGATCCAAGGATTTTCGCCTGGTCTGCCTGACGGCTGTTCCCAGGAAAGATCATCCAGTTCATCTGACTCTTGAGACATACACGTACAACGAGCGACCTGAGTACGAGACAGTATCGTATATGTGGGGCGGTGAGAATGGCGACAGTACGCCTTGCCGCCCCATCTTCATCGGCAAATATTGGGCCGTCCTCCTGCAGTCGCAGAACTGTTGGTCCATGCTTCGATTCGTTCGACCCTGGCGTGGCATGCGCATGATATGGATCGACGCCTTGTGTATGTATCTTTGTCCTCCTTGGAGTGTTCTTGAAAGAAGGAGTACTCCTCAAACGATGACCATTACCACGCTCTATCCGCCTACTCTTCTTTTAGGGCAGTTGGCATTCGCATGACTTTGCATCGTGCGAGTCTTCAAACGTTCAAGTACCGAACAACTGACCACGTAGCTCGTTGTAAGGGCCATCAGGTTTCACCAATCACCAAATCACTATCATATATCCTTTGGGCAAAACCAATTACTGACATTTCACCCGGACATAGGCATAAACCAAAGCAATCTAGAGGAAAGAGCAGTACAGGTCGCACGCATGCGCCAGATTTACGTAGACGGTGACAGAGTTGTCGTATACCTTGGCGAAGACATCACTAGAGACACCTCCAAGTTTCCTGCCTACGTAAATCTTGACGAGGTCAACGCAGCTCCATCATACGGCGATCTTATACCAATACGAGATCCGCGAACCTCGGTTGGCCTATGCCTAAGTCTCAGCTGCGATCAGCAGTGATCGATAATTTGTCGAAACTCCTGTCACGGGCTTACTTCTCTAGAGTCTGGGTGATACAAGAATTGATTGCATCCGATCGCGCAGTTATGCGCATTGGCAATATCGACTTCAAAGCCGACGCTGCCATCGTGTATCGTATGTCATGCCGACACAATGCCACGTTCAATTGGAGTCATACGAGGGTGCCTTGGGTGCAATACTTGGGACAGACGGTGGTCAATCCGAACAGAGCAAAAGATATCGTCAGTCTGGCTGCTTTGACTTCCAGATGCCGTGCGACAGATCCACGTGACAGGATATTCGCTATCGTACAGCTTTTGGTGGACGCATGGCAACGGGAAACTTTGGCTCCAGACTACACCTTGTCTTTTCAGCACTTTTTTATCGGCTTCTTTGCACATTCACTGCTCGTAGCACGCAAGACATTCTTCCTAGACTTTGTAGGAATCCAGAAATTCGTCAGCCACACCATCATGGATACCCTCGTGTCAACCGCATACGTCTTCGGAGCGTGTGTTGGCTAACGCTATACCTCGAAGTGTTAACGTCACTTCATATGAAGATCTTCCGACGGTAGGCTGTCAGGTTTATCTCGACGCTATGTGTACAGTGACGGTCAGGGAGTTGATCACCTGTTATGATTATAACCGCTCATACATCGCGCCAGCGGTAGATGCTGCCACAGGTGCACTGCGTACGTAGTATCGGTCTTCTGAAGGTCTTTGGACATCAACTGACTTCGAGCCAACACCTAGTCATGGACTTGACGCATCTCTTCGAATTTGGGCATCCGCCCAAGCTGACAAGGTCGTTTGGACATCTACATATATATGAGATTTGGACTCCACATCAGCATCACGAAAAGTTGTGCTTCTTCGCCTGGACTCGTCCAGATATTGCGGCAGGCGATCATCTTTTCGTGCTTCCCATGAACGAGAAGATCGAAACCCAGGCTCGCTTTGGTGCGCAAACACGTCCCGTGGCTTAGGATGGCAAGTTCGATCGAAGAGGACTTATGTACTTAGTACTTCGTACCAGGCCAAGCGAACATGGACTTCGAACTTTACAGCTAGTCACGACACACATAGGTCTTTGTGCTCCGTTTCCCGCAATCCAGACGTGGTCAGCCTCTACAAACTTTAACGGTAGCGACTGGCCAGCAGTCCGCAACCTCCGTTTCTTGAGGCTCTCGGAAGTGTAAGTGGACGTAGAGTCTGTTTTTATCAGCGTTCTGAATATCCTCAAAGACGCACGGGCAGTCGTTTTCTCGGAGGAGCAGATGCGATACATTAAGAATCTGCCGAATGGCCATGATGCACTCAGCCGCCGCTTTGCATCGGATATATGCGATGCCTTCTATCAGGATAGCATACATTACCTGCAAGATGGCTCATGGGGGAGGCTTGGTGCCTTGCTTCTGGATTCACCCATATTCAAAAACCGCGAATACCTGAAGAGAGGACCATTGCTGATCCCAGCGATGCGGGATTTCATGACACGCAACAACTTCATGATGTTGCTCGAAGCATTGAGCAATGCGTACAGTCCACCAATGGACATGCACGAGGTAGTATGGTTGATCAAGAACGGTCCGACAGACGCACAAAAGACCATGGGTGTGCCGAAGTACATCAATGGCATCCAAGTAGATGGGAGTGTCATGAGAGTGCTCATTGTATAGTTCCATGCAGAGTTGGCAACAATCAAATCAATCAAATCAGAAGCTCGAGATTGATTTGATTGCAATTTTTTAGAGTCGTGATTGATTTGATTGATTTGGTGGGCCAAAAAAAGCGTGATTGGTTGATTGATTGATCAGATTGCAATTGTAGGCGTACGTAAGCGTGAGGCTGCTGGGTTTAGTGAGGCAGCAATCTCACGATAGTTCCATAGTGTTGAGGATAGCTCTCACAGCGCGATCTCATCGTTCACCAGCAATCTCACAGCTCCAGCAACTCCAACAACTCCAACTCCAACAGTATAACGTATAGCTCGCTCGCGTGATTGGTTCGGGGAGGGCAAAGTCGCTTGTAAGTTGCTATCAAAAGCTGTCGTCGTCGTCTGTTTTGAGAAGCAGTTAGCTGAGTTATACAGAGTTGATCGCCAGTTGCTTGCCTGCCTCAGCCTCTGGCTCCTCCCACTTCGCGAGGTCGTATAACCGTTCGAGATCGTTGTCACTAAGCGCTGTCTTCTTGGGCGGCGTCTGCTTGCTGTCTTTCATCCAACACCGTACACATTGAAGCGCGGATAGTAACTGCGATCCCATATTACGCCGTCGAGGAACAAGTAGATCACCAACCTCGCTGAAGACGCGCTCACAGTCACAACTACTTGCCAGGATTGTCAGTATATCAATCGCAAGGCGCGCGAGGTTGGGATACTTAGGGCGTAGCTCAGTCTAGTAAGCTATTACGCTATTGCCAGGGCTTTCAAATACAGTCTTTGACCACTTTGGCTCAAACGTCCGCCAACGCAAATACTCGTCGCCGCCCTCGTCGTCGTCAGAGTTCGGATCCTCCATGATTGCCGCGATAGCGTCGTCAATAGCACTCAGATTGCGCTCTCTTAGGCGAGCTTTTAGGCTCCGCGGCACCTAGTAAGTACTCCAAAGCTGTTAAAAAGCTTCTCTCAATCAGGCGAGCCAGCTTGGCTTGTCTCTCTACGCGCGGTCGCAATAAAACTTGTAGTACGGGTGGAGGCAGACGGCGGCAAAGTAGACGGGCGACTCGTCAAGCCGGCTGTAATAGCTGTTGATCTTTGCCCAGGCGGCTCTCAAGTTGATCGCGAGGTGGTCCTCAGGAGCACCAGTTGCCTCGTAATTAACGAGTTCGTAAGGCCTATACTGCTGCTCCAACTTACCAAGTAAGTACTCAAAGACGGGCAACACCTCGTAGATCGCTCCAAAACGTCCGCTCTTACTACGACCTTCTAGCCGCTTTGTCGCTGCCTTCAAAGGCTGTAGAACCTCAACATAGTCCTTCACGACAGCCCAATTGTTGGCGGACAGCCCGCCGGATCTCATCTAACTTGGCGCGTCGGCTGCTCTGTTTCTGCGTATCCTCGGGCGGCTTTCGATAGGCTCGCGGTTGTCGGTATAGTACGCGATGTACTCGTTGAGAGCTGGTTGCAACTCAACAGCCCACTCAAACGCTGAGCAATATGAGTTCCACCGGGTGACGCAAGGCTTTACGGTCTCCCAGATCTTCTGACTATCAGCAGGCAGATCGCGGTTAGCCAAGGCCTGAAAGTTGCGGAAAACCTCGTGCTGTTGCGGCGTCTGGATGTAATTGATAACGTCTAGAAGCGTGCCTAATGGGCCTTGCTTAC